TAATGACTTCTGACTCCAACTATTTTATTAAGCAGATATGAAGGGTGGGGACAAAGAAAAGCTGAAAAGTGTTGTAGATAAATGACAAGTCCCCCATCGAAGTTCTCAAACTGAACGCATTGGAAACATTGCAGCAATCCCCACAGCACAAGGTACACTTACTTGTTTTTCTAGCAGGTAAGCTTTATGCTTGAAAGCAAAAATTCTTTGCTTTCTACCACAGTGCAGTTGCTTGTGCAGAAGGAAGGACACATAGAACTCGGTCTTCTCATAGAGTAAGTACTCAAGCATGGGTAATTCCTAGTTTGCAACAAGCAGTCCATTTGAGAAAGACCTGGTTACATACAAGTCAGGCTAAGGTGACAGTCAAGGTCTCATTAAAGGCAAAACCAACTTTAGCTACAATATTTTTACAAGGAGCTATCGAAGTTAAAAGCTGCCTTCTCTTCTAATTTGCCGTCCTTCCCATAGAAGTCAGATAAGATTGAGACAATTTAAAAAAACAAAGACAACCAAGATGCTTTTTATTTCATACTTTTATTAACGCATTTTAATTTAGGCTGGAACCTGCACTTTCTGAATAGGCCGCTTTGGGCTATTCATACAGCTTTGTCATAACAAAAGAGGTACCTTAAATTCATCTGTGAATGAATGTTGCCACATGCTGTGATTATTCAAAACATAGTGCTTCAGTGAAAGTTCAAATATATTTTATACACAGTGATTATGAAAATAGATTTTTTCCATACAATATTTTACGTCTGCCAGCTACAAAACATGATAAAGAAAAATAATTCGTTTATTTCTCTAGCCCTAGGAATCTTCTTCTACTGCAACATATACATCACTCTCAGTGAAAGCAATGAGGTGGGAGAAAGGACTCCAAAATCACACTGAAATATTTCCCTCGAATCTATAGGTGCATTTCACCGAGGATACGGTAGTGTCCTAGAGCCAGATCAAGAGGTCTGGGAATATGGAGGAAAAAAAAATCCCAATTCTGAACCACGTGACTGTGGGATTTTGAGTCCAAGAAGTTCAAGTCATATGCCTGAGTTAACCCAAGTTGAAAGTAAGGGAGAATCCTGTAATTCCCCCCAAACAAATCACATACTTGTCCTGATCTAATCTTTCCAGATTGATGGCAAAGCAGCATTTTCATGACAACTACTGAGACAACACCACTTCTGTTCAGACGACAGGAAATCCGCACTGCAAGTAAAAGGCAACCCACTGAGGTGACTATGGAACTCGAACCACTGCTAACCGTGTCACGTTCTGTAAGTTAGGATGCATTGGTTCTTAACTTCCAGTAATAGCTGTATTTCCTTAGATTCAAGGCTAGTTTTAACTTTGGGGTGTTTTACGTAAGCATCTGAGGTAAGAGTTCTTGATGCACCTTTGTTTTTTTTGGTATAGTTTCTTAATGTGCTTTTTGATTGTGTATAAAATAAATGTTTTGTTAGATGAGAGCTAGACTGATACTACAGTGGAAACAGCTTACTAAATGAAGTGCACCACCACTTAGAGATGCCGTGAGGCTTCCTGCACTGCAGGAGTCACACAGTTCTGTATTTGCTCACAGGTAAAGCAGTTGTGGAAAGGGCACTCTGCCCTCTGCAAGATGCTTTTACGGCCACTTTAAGCAGGCCCAAAGTGTTATTCTACAATCTGGCTGGTAAAAGGATTATGCCCATGCTTCCAAGGATTCAGTGTACAAGAGTATTTGCATAGAACAGTAAGGGGAAACAGGTGCTACTTACTCATATACTGGAATAACAACAGGAGGATGGAGAACGTGCTGTGGCCCCAATGCCTCTCTCCACTTTGGTGACAGAATTGTGTTTTCCTACATACATGTAATTCCCCACAAAGAATGAAAAATCTACAGGTACTCCAGTTTGGAGTGGTTAGGACATTTGAAAGCAAGAGAATTTTTCTTACTAGCTGTGATTGATAGTGCAATTTCACACTAATTTGTAAAGGATTAAATAAGACATCCAATTTCTGAACAGGGATGTTTTAGTTACATCTGCTGTGCAGGCACATGCCTTCAGTGGAAGCAGCTTCCACTGCACATTTTAGAAGATGATAAAGCTGTTCTATACCTGCATTCAAGCTACTGCAAGGCAATGTATTATGTATGATGACAGTTAACTACTGTTTTCACCCCAGAAGAAAAGAGTACCTGAACACATCCTGTGGACATTGACTAAGCCACATCTGCCATTTAATACACTACATGAATTAAGAAACTAACTGTAAATACACTAGTCTAACTGTAAACCTGAACTTTGTTGCTACTATACATGAATAACATTTTCTATTCATATTGCAGCTACAGATTTAATAAATAGAATTGCATATATTGTGCTTTATAAATTAAAATGCATTCCAAAGTGAGGCAATGCTAAACAATGAATCTATTTACCACTCCCTCAAACCAGCACACATTCTGGTTCTAGAACCAGCCCACTTCCTCACTCAGTTCACAAAGGTAGAAAGAGTGTCTGTTTCTACCTCCTAAACAAAAGCTCCTTCCCCAAGAAGTGATCAAAGAAAAGTTTACTTAGGCACTACTGCAAA